AAGTTTAAATGCTTCATTTTAAGATGAGATATTTTCCGCGCTGTTGTATGTCACGCTGCGGCAGTGAAGTCTATCAATGGGCATCAGATACGACGGCTGCTATGCACTTTGGGAACTATATAAAAAAAACAGATTGTTCGGTTTAGTAACGCCGACCTGACAATGTTAAAATTTGACATGGGGTCTGTCTATTATTGATTTTCTGTCTAACAGAAGTAACCCATACAATGTCGAAGGCAGACTGTCAATTATAGTTTCGTAATTGTGTTGTCAAAATGATCTGTAGAACATGTATTGACCGCTTTATGGACAAAACGAATGGCTTTACGGCCCTTATAGGTGGACCTGAATAACTGTTTGTAACGATCTGCATACGGCATAAAACAGATGAGAAGAAGTAAGAATGCGCTAAACAGTTGGACAAGTTATAAACTTTAATAGCCTAGAAAGGCCAAACTTTTCCTGCACTATATTCCCACCATTCGTTATGTAGCCGGATATTTCACAGCAGCCTTCGTCAAAGCTTATCCAGTGCTTCCAGAATAAAGCCCTTGATGGTCTATTGGATAGTTTTTCTCAGCATTCAAGATACTGACACGCGGATAGTTTGTAAATAATTCAAGGCCTGTTAATATTTACGTCTTTTGTTTTTAGCTATTTGTTTGACACATTCATTTACGGAGGGGCATAAAAACAGATTTTATTCACATATTTCATGTTCGTGTAATGTTTAACGACTATTTTACAATTGACTGATACCACCAATAAGATCTTAGTAATTTTCACACAAAGATATTAGTTTAAAATATAGGTATATATATATCGCATTCTTATTTAGCTTGCCGAGATCTATGGATTATCGACAAGAAAGACTCGTTTACATGAAACACCGGGTTGCCAGGTTGTCACCCATCTTTCAAACAGTACCTTCGACCCGAAGGCTGAAATTTAGGTATATAAACACAGACTGTAGTTCAATTCAACTCATCGAGACCCTTTGACAAAGGTCAGGCTGCCATTTCGCGAATATAAAAGCAATTTTTAAAAGACAGCTCACTTCGTCCCCTGAAACCTTTTCAAAAACGGGACTAACACTACGTTCTGTATGATGAAAAATTAAATGCCCCGAAAAAGTCTGCGTCAAATCGGGCCCACCTAGATCATAGCTTAACGATCTGACCGCTATGGCGTCGGACAAATAAATAAAAAGACACGGAGTTTTAGCATTATATACAGTGATACACTGGACAAATGGGCAAGCGTTTAAAATAACCGTAAGCGCATAGATAAAATTAAGCGAATGACTGGTTACCTCAGTGTTCTTCGGTACTGTTTTACATATGCAGAATAATATATTCAAGCAAAATTAAAAGGAAAACCGTAAACTGGTGGATTTAGTTCAAAATAGAGATTCGTTCATTTCTGCCCCGATCATGTGTGGTAATCGACTACCACTTAAGCAATATCTATAGAACTATTAGGCTGCACTGCACCAACATCAGTGTTGACGCTGCTTTAACAACAATTTGCCTGAAACAGTAAATATGACAGACCCTAATTATGGTGCTATCAAAATGGTTTTTATCTCGCTTTTGGGACATAAACTAGCGACGCTGCCCACTCGATTACCGGAGCAACATCGCTATCGACGAGAACGGATCAACCAGAGGAAACGGTTGCATTGTTTTCTTCTTTTTTAATTTTTTTGATTAGTTGAAGCCAATTGCGGCGGCATAGAACAGCAAAACAACGACAGGGGAGAACAGGGAGATCGTTACATCGTCGTTACCGGCCGTTCAGGGCAGTGCAGCGAGGAGCAGCAACCTGTCGCTGCCATACAGATATTTAATAGGCGACGCTCATTGATTGGCCTTAAAGCCAATTACCCCTGTTTTCGATACATGGTATCAGCAGGAGAGGAGGACTATATATGGCTATTATTGCCGTTGCTGCTCTCGTCCGTGTTGTTCGATCAATGTCTACAGCTGCACAAATTATAGAAGTCAGTCAAAATATCTGTACGTATTCTACAAGTGTTCCTGTGTAACTATCTGTATAATTACAATTTGAGATTTCTAGCTATGACAATTGCGATCCCGTTTATCTTGTTGTTATAAAATCAATACCATCAACCATCTGAACATGTGTAAAGCCATCGTAGCTGTTAATCCTTGCGATCCTACAGGGGTTCGTATTGCAAAGCTCCGCTTTTCATCAACCCCTTTCTCCACCTTAGCACATGGCTACTATCATGCACAAACGTCTCAGCAAATGATGTATTTTTATCGATTGTACGTACGATGAAAATGAACTCTGTAATTTTTGCTTGAAAATGACAGCATCACATACAGCCACTGACAATAGCAGATTTAAAAGAACAAGCATCCATTGTAATATTTAGTGCAGCTATAGTAAATACAAACTTTATCAGTAAACAACTTCCACGTCCACGTCCACTTCGTTAGTGTAAAAATGTGACAACTTTTTATATACGAGACGGCACTACGGTTACAGTTCTTTAGAAACTAAATGTAAAATAAAAGAAATTCTAAAATGAAGTCTTTAGAAAAAAACGACAGAATCAACCAGTCGGCAATAAAATGCTCCGAATTTGGGTGACTGTCGCTACTACAATGATTCATTGTTGCCCTGACGATTGGGGAGTGATGATACCTCCAACGTTTGCTGCATTTGTGTCTACTTCACTTAATCAATATAATTAAATACCTTGTTTCTTTACCCTGCTGAAACGATCAACTGTTGAATATCATTTTACGACACAATGTTCATAGACACGATAAAGGCAGAGAAAGAAAATTTTCGAGGCGTTCAAGCGACAGGTTGCTTGGACCTAGCTAATCGCCAACGGACAACCCCTACCGGAGCAGTTTTAGTGATAGTAGCACACCGTTGAGCCTTAGACTTTTGATCGCTTACCCTCCTGTCATATTCTAAAAAAAGTGTCTATTTCTAGATAATCGAACTTATGTTAGAAAGTATTTCATATGTATAAAGCGAATATGGACAATTCAACTTTTGTGGGTAACTCTAAAATATATTCAGCTCGATACGCACAATTAGGCTAATTGCTACACGATACCCATATGACGTTGTCCGCTCATATAACTGTAACGTAAAGCTTCGCCTCTCTTCAGTTCGGTCTAACCAGGGGCACATGAAAGGCAGAAGGGCAATTGGAAACTGACAAAATTGATTTGTCAAGTAGTGTTTTGTTTCTCACACTGCGATTCGGTTCTGGTCACTGCTCGTTTCAGCATATTAATGCTACGATGCAGGGGGGAAAACGCGTAATAGGCATCGCGGAAGCGAATCTTAGAATATATCTGGCGGTTGGCGATCATACAGAGTGGTCAGGGAGCGACGGTGACTATTCAGGTATACTTTTACTGCCCATAAATCAAGCGTCCATGACTGAGCGGCGAGTGAAGGGGGCGCGCGCCTAGTCTACGTGAAATATGCCGCCGCCACCACTTCCGTACCAAAAAAATCACTGCAGCAATTAATTGTCAATAAAGGTTGTGCTTACCTTTAAAAAAAAATAGAATCACCATGTACTTAACTCCTGTCCTGTCCTGTTCGGTCATGGCCACTGAACTGTAGTGATGCTAAATTCTATTGTGGTTGCTAATGTAGGCAGATTTCCCTAGTACCTATTTTGCCCTCCCCCCCTCCCCCCCCCTTTTTTAACAAGACGTTGTTGAAAGCTGTTTGCTGAAGAATAAGACTTATAGCTTTTTCCTCACTATAAATGGAGCTGAAGAACAACTAGGTAGAAACTCTTCTAATTTTTTTACTTACTCATGCTAGGGGAGCGAACCAAATGATGATGGACTTGAAGCTAATTCTGCTGGTACGGTACTTCGAAGCGCCATTTAATGGTAGCTCCTTGTTGTAAGATCGCTTTACCACAATCGCCTTCATGTCAAATGTAGAGGCACCTTTAGCTATCAATGCATGAGAATTGGGACAGTTTGGCAAATTAAATAGAAACCCGCATGGACCTCCGGTAAGTTTTAGAAGGTTCGTCCCCATACAGTAAACCTAAACCTGCTCAATATATCGAAATGCGTATAACAATTACTCAAATCGGAGGATGAAAACCGTATGTAGAGTAATGAAGTTCAACGCTCATATTATCTGTAGGTTTCGACGCTATTGCATCAAAAATGCAAGAGAACTATTGGCATTGTTTTGACCGGGCATACAGTATTATATACTTAGTTTTACATGAATAACCGCAACTTTTCTTAGTAAAATCTCTGTCCTATCGGCAATGGAGTAAAAATCAACACATCTGCAATATGAATACTATTTGAAATTCCCATTTTTTTTAAAGCTAGCTATAGCAAAATTTGATGTGGTCCGTTTAAGTTTTGCTACTTATAATATACATCGATACCGTTATCTGTTTTATGCAATTATTCTTCGACATTGTGGTGACAATAGATCTGCTGTACGCTTATAGCATAGCAGCTGTGACGCGCTGCCTTCAGGGAATGTAAGCCAAGTGCTCGTGATAGCGTAGCGAACAGCGTTTCTGTCTGCTAAACCTAAATGCTGACCTAGGTAGTGTAGGCCTAAGTGTTTAAGGCTAGTTAAGTGCTTTTGCTCCGTCACAGTCGCGTTTTGTTTCTCAGGGAAATTAGGATACTTAGCACGCGGTAAACTGCGACTGTTTGTTAGTTTATCCAGATTTCTGCAAGGCTGCTATATCGATGGCGAAATTTCGCCGAATATTACGGTGCTGCCGGTTATCAACTACAACAATGTAATATATGATAACACCTATAATTTAATTGCAAACATAGATTTACGGCTTTCGCTATGATATTATAAGACCATTGTAATAAAAATAAAGCCAGCTTTTTTTTTTTTTATCATTTGTTGTTTTATTAAGAGTTTTCCTCCATTTTTCCAAACGCACAGTGTTTATTTCAATGATGACATTCCGGAATCTTTTTTTTTTTTTTTTTTTTTTTATAATGAAACAGAAAATTCTTTGTGCTATTATTGTATTCGGACGTATTATCTATCTATCTATGGATCGACCACAAATGAGTTGGCCTAGAGAAACATCGTTGAAATGACGTTACCTTCAATATAGTCTTTATGCGTATTCAGTTGTTTACAATAACCACATTAGCTGGGTGGTACGGCTCAAGCCTCATTGCCTACCACTTCGGTCCCAGTCAGCATTTATTATGACACAATTATTGTGATTGTCATATTGTAGAAACGGGTCTTGTTTCGCATGAACAATTTTAAGGTGCATTTTGCAGATTTGGTTGGTGACTCAATCAAATCTTTATTAACATAAGGCTCAATCTGGCCTCAACAAGTGCTTTGTACCTATATATATATAAGGAAATTAAAAAGAAGCGAAAGTTCGGCCCACGGAAAGGAAAGGCAAGAGGTGAAGGAAAGGTGCTTGTGCACGTGCATGCATGAATCTATACGGACACTCATAGAATAACAATTTTTTTTTTATTAATCTCTCGTGAAAATAGTATTCCTGTCATAACTATGGTCGCGCGATTATATAAACTCACCTTCAACATAAATTGGTTCACACAATATTTACACTATGTACACGTTTCACGCAGTTTACCGTTGTACAGATTTTCCGTTTTATAATAATGCAACAGTGATTATTGCGGAATAACCTGAGCTTGCAAGATAAAAGGAGACATCTTTGAAGATAACGCAATTTATGGGTGATCGATTGTACAATTTTGCTGTTATTATCGTTTTGAATGCGTGGAGGCCAAGCAAATATTTCTAAAGGTAAAATAAAAATCAGCTATTAAATAGATGATTCTACTTTAATTAAACTCGCTTTGTATTGATTAAGTTTATTGCCAATATTCGATAAGCTTAAAAAAAAAGAGAAAAATGTATTACGCTTCACTGCTTTAGCTAGTGCTGTGGCACTTCACTCGTGCGGTCGTATAGGTCCCTGAGAACACCCGAAACAAAAAAAGCTACACTGCTTCAATTGCAGGTTACAAGAGCAAGTTGGCCCAAAGTTTTCTTTCGCTTTGCCCAATGATGCTCTCACATGCCTGTGCAATCCTTATTTTTGATTTGTAACAATTTCTCTTATTAATCATTGTTGAATCATTAAAAGGACATCTATCTAATGTGAAGGAATCCTAGCACATGATCCTATCTTTCTACTGTTATACGATCGCTTTTGTTAAGTACGGGTAGGCTTTAGTGACACAAAGAGAAATACGTTTTTTTTTTTCGTACTAGTTATTAATCCAGTAAGGAGACCTATAGCAAATGAATTTCATACACGCTGCAAACGTATTTGCAAAAAACGGATTATTGCGACTTTTTTCGATGAAGTCCTCAAGCCAAAAGCTACCATGAGCGATGTTTAATTGAGCCGTCTGGTTCCTCGGAGTCATCGTCTCAATCTCAAAGCGTCCTGAAGTTGAAGTATTTGATCATTCACTTCGGCTTGAATTGTTTCCACTAAATGGCCCATTCTCTATCTACCTGTGGGCGTGCATTCGGGCCATTCCCCATGAAGTCTCGTAGTCGCGCATACGACTTCGTCGGCTGGGCTCATATGCTTCGTACGCCTGGTCAAATCATACCGTTAACAACGGTCAAACCAAAGACAAAGGATCATTTAACCAAACAAAAGGAGGAAAATCAAGAAATTTAATAGTGAATTAATGCTCGTTATCGTCGTGTTACATCTATCATAAAAACTGCTTGAAACGACACATAAATGTATATAGCACAAGTATGTTAATATCGCCAAAAAAATATTGTGTCTTTTTGAACCCAAAAGCAGGAGAAGAGACCTGTATCCGATTTTAATAGCAGGAAATGGCAAGAGAAGAAAGGGGTGGTGTTCGGAGAACATAGCCAGAGAACAAATTCACCATTGAAAATCCCGGTACAAATACACCGTGTATGTACAATCCTTTTATAATTATATATGTTATGAATTTTTACATTAATGGGTCCTTGTCTCATTTATGTAGAATGCGTACGGTACCTAACCTTTGATGCCTTCGACTACTCTTACGGTAAGAACGAACAAACAACCGGGATCATCTTCTCAATATAGTCATCCTCATCAGACGACATCATCAGAACTCCAATGTTCAGGTCAGTTACCATTACACGTATCTGATCAATCCTGCTATTCTGTACAATCAAAATTCCAGTCTTGCAGGCATGTTTTCACAGTCAGTGGCAAAGAAACACTTTTCTGGCATTTTTTACATATCCATATTGGATAAAGGTACCATATTCTCTATTGATCGTCGGATTATAAGCGGGGTTCAGCAGCACTTAACGCGTCCGAGGTGATGCCTTATATTCCAGAGAAAATAAATCTAAGGCTAAAGCCATTCGAAATGGCTTAGCGAGACATGCTCTCTAGCTCTGTTTGATCTTCCCGAGAATCTTGCATTTCGCAAAAAAGCAGTGGGTAAAGACAAAGCGTACGTAGGTTAGGTAGTTTAGAGCTTTCTGTGCAAAAAGAATGAATCTATTCGCTAAAGGCAGTATTGGCCGAGCTCAGGCTAGAGGTGCCATTCAAGTCGTTCTGTCGCAAAGAGAAATCGTTAGTCCTATTAGTTGTTTTTCATTTTCAAACAGTTAACTTTATCGATTTCAGTCAAAGTGCACGCTTGCCTGCTTGTATCGAAGCTTTTCACATCGGCTAAATACAACACGGAATAATTTTAGGAACAAGCTAAAAAAGTAGCATTTTTCAAGTGAATTCGACTAATGCGTTTGTCAGTCTGCTAATAGAATGAAACGGTGGTCTCGATCCGGATTTAGAACAGGGCACTGTAGACGGACGTTTGCTTGAATCAGTATTACATAGCAATCCGATCTACTTAGTTCAAGTTAAACATAACTATACTGAGACGAATGGGAAAATTTCGAAGCCGGAAACAATGGTGTACGAGTAGTACCGGAAGATACCTCGAAAAGGTAATGTAAGATAACTAATTTGCGTAACAAAAGCTGAACGCATGCACGATATCTGTTTTCAGAAGAAGAAAAATTGGATTATTACGGTACATGCTAACTTAATTCGTTATAATCAGAATTCTAGTAGACGACTAAAAAGGTAGGTCTTCTGGTTCAAAACTAAGAACCGAATAGATTCTGGTGGTGTCTAGCTAACCTGTTTATAAATCATCTACTTGATTAATGTAACTTCGTGATATCTAAAAACTTCATAGTCTGAACATAATATAGGGTCACTTTGCTGAGGGTAAGTTTATAATTATTTAAAAAGGTCTCTTTCAGTAAAGTGCAATGGCTTCAAACGTTCGATCTAAAAAAAGAACTTAATAACTTATTCTTATTGTATATATATATATATATATATATAAATATATATATATAAATTGCAGCAGTTACTGCATGAATTGCAGCATTTGTTCCGGCCAACAGCGGTGGCAGTGAACGCATAAAGACCTGTTAGTTTTAGCAGACGATATAGCCTGAATTAAGGAACCAAAGAAAAGAAAGCCCTGTGGAAGCGGCTGCTGATCCCCGAATTTTCGTTGCCACTATTGGCGCGGTGTGGTGTTGTGGCTAGCTGGCTGTTGACGGTATCAGTTGTGCAGTTGATCGGCTTCTGATTTGACCTGCATCGCTGACATCCCACAACCAAGAGGGGGTATTGGCGGCGACAGTTATACACAGTATCTGAAGTCCACCCACCTACCAATAAATCGTAGCGCTGGCTCATATAGCCGTTGTCGTTATCACTACGCTTTTGTCAATTCTAGCTCATAGAGCTTCTGCTGCTCTATATAATAGGCGCAATAAATAAGTCTGTCACAACGGCAGTAACCGCAAATGGTAACGACCTGCATCTGCAAACCCCAGCCCATGATACACTCACTATAACAGTGTGAGGTTTATATGTTCAGTGCACAAATTCTATACATAAAACATATCTAAAGATTGATTTCTTTTAATTTTACGGCCAGTACTGCAGCTAATCATTGCTTCAGACCGTTAGCCTCGATAAGAACGACCGGCAACTGCGCCAGGCATCAAACCTAGACTCCTAATAAGTGCGTATCTAAATTCGTAGAAAAAAATGTTAGCATTAGATTATCATAGTAGAACTTAGATGTATGTACGAGTGACTATACCGGTTCATAATCTGTCATATTTTTGTATCTATCTATAGGTAGAGAGGAGACCTTTCGGACCCTTTTCGATAGCCTTGTAAGTGATAGCATGACAAATAAAAATTTTTGAATTAAAAGTGTTTCGTTGTCTATGATAGATTACCGAATATCCGGCTATGATAACATAAATGAATGATAACAGTCGTACATCATGGAGGTAGTGACGATGGACTAAGAAGAAATGGTAACCACACTCTTAGAGAACGGTGATTTAAAGAAGTGGGAGAAGCAAGAAATAGAAACAAATTGATAGAAAATTTTGTAAGTCATAGCACAATAGGCATGGCGCCGTAGCTATTGGTTACGACCGAGTATAGGTTTTCACAATCGCAACAAAACCGACCATTTTTAGGTTGTTGGCAATTGACGCAGGTAACTGGCCTCCATGGATCCCTTAAAAAGGACCTAAGCTGTACAATCACAGTTTTTACGCAACGGATTGTCAAGTTTCCCCAATATTCACTTAATTTCGCCATCTTCGATATGGAACTTCTACGGATCTGAAACATCCACTAGAATTAGGGTTGGTCATTAATATTTCATTGAATTTTCATGCAAGTGGCATTGAAAAGTTTGCCGATTATTTCTTTTCTACAGTAAATCACAACTAACTGTACACCTGTTAATAAAAAACAATTTCCATTTTTTCTTACGTATATCTTAGCCACATCGGGCTAAGGGATTGATAAGGCAAAGAACTTATCTTTTAGCAATTGCTCAATGCCATTGGCAAATAACTGTCATGATCCGCACATAGCGTGGGGGCCATCTTTAGGTATCTCTTCTCGGCCCCCATAATAGCAAAGTTGTCTCTGAAGTTTTTACGACTCGCTGGTTGCGGGCGCTCTTGCGCTCCTTTGTTAACTACTTGATATCACCGACTTATTGCTTCGAGTTGCTCCCACCAAACACTAACGAGAGTGACTCTTGTTTAACTAAGCGCCCCTTCACCGCTTTCGCGAGTTCGTTCATATAAGTAGCCTCATAGTCATCTGTTGTTTATCGCCAGAATCGAGCATCTAGCCACGTACAGGAGCATTGAATGTAGAATATGACACTTGAAATGGCTGTACTCACTTGAGAATGTTGATGTCTCATGACGGGTGATTCCGAATGATCTGAACGGCTCGAAGCGGCCGGCGGCTGAACGTGCGGACGACGCGCCAATGTTACGCAGGACACGCATGTTGCGATAATCAATAGTTGGGCCACCAGCGCGACAGCCAGACACGCCGTAACCATCGTGTGGGGTGCACAGAGCATATGAGCGTCGAATACGGCCGCTAGGATCCAAATTGATTTTTTATTTTATTTATAATAACGCAAGCGGTTCTTAACGTTCAGTGCAATTAAAATTGAAACAGTATGTTTTCACAGGTTACTTAAAGAGCTGCATGTTCGAAAGGAGTGCTCACATTTAACTTTGTTTCCCGTAGTGGGCACAATCGCCACGTCGTCCGGGGAGCGTCCAGGTGGTACGATGCCCTCAACGATAATCTCACGCTGAAGAGGTAGGTCGGCCATCATCGATGGGGTCGGTGAGGGTGAAGGGGCCCCAGTAGGAGACGGTGTTGGCAACATTCTCATGATTGATGGAGCCGAATGCGCACGCTTCGTGCGAGTCACTGCAGAACGTTCGGACAATCTTGACAAAGGAAAATGTTATATTAGACTCTTAGTAGAAAAAAAAAGGCCACGTATATATGCTTTAATGGTGTACCTCTATGTCTCGTCGCTCACACGAATTGCTATTAATTAGAGTTTAATAAATTTTTCTGTAAAAACGGTTTATGTAGACGTTTTTTGAATGATATTACCTAGGGAAGCCTGGAAGATCTCTGAAGTTATGTTCTCTGGGATGATCTCTGTCTCTTACTCCTCTATCGGAGAGGCTATGGATATCGTGTAATGGCCCTTTTCCAGGTGACCTCTGAGAACAGGTTGTAAGAGGACATTCATGCAGACAAAACTGAACCGTAACTTGAAATCGAACAACGGTATCACCAGCAAACTTAAATGCCTCAAACTTTCCTGTGAACCAGAGTAAGTAGCATAATTTTTATAAGTTATATATGTAAAAGGGTAGTGGTTATCTAGTGTCAACTGTGAACTACCCTTCACTAATTTTCCCATAAACAGAGTTCTCACGAGTATGCGGCTAATGTTGTGTATCAACTTACGTACATGTAATAGGAACATCTATTTTAGCTAACAAACAAACCGGGAATCGATATTTTTGGACGCTGTCAAGGTATAAATGACAAAGCTTGTGAGTGCACTTTTTGCATCATATTGACAGCTTTGCATATAATAGAAAAAAAAAATCGAATTCGATTGATGACAAAGCTCAAGTTATCCTTGCATTCTCTATCCTTCGCGCTCTTGTCTAAATAACAATGCTGTAAAGATTTTTCGTAATCGATCGCAGAATTAATAGCTATCCCATCATTGTTGCAATGCATCAGTTGCACTTATATGTACATTGTATTGTTATGCCACTGGTTGTTTTTTTGGCTTACATTATACGTATTTGAGAAGATAATCAAACGATGATGTTTAACACGTTTTAGCAATAAGGCATTAGGGCAATTGGACGATGGACGTATTTCTAAGTAAAATTTTGCGTTATGATGAAATATACGTATAGAGACGTCATTTAGTGCTGACAGACAGGTAACAAGTGAACCTATATGTCTTTAAATAAGTTATCGGTATTAGAACCGTGACAATTTTTTTCAAAAAAAAAAAAGCTAAATGAAAGCGAATCCATATCATAACACAGTACAGGATTGTCTGCAAGTTCACTAGTTAAACGTGACAATTTTCCTATAACCCCTTCTCTCACATCTCCTACGGATACTTTGTTGTTTTTCCGTGTTTCACAATGGAATCTAAAAAAAAAATACACTTAATTACTTTGTTTCATTATGAGCACGTTAACACGACACTGTTGTTTAATGGTCCATCGTGGTTATTAGGATGATGCAATAATGGCATTTTCCCTTTAGTATCGACTCAAGACACAGCGCCTGCGATACATTTGTAAAAAAAAAGCAGGGCATTATACCTATGTTTATAAATTCTATCCACGTATAGAGCATAAGCATGCTCAATGTATGACTTTTCATGCGAATTTTATGATGATAGGATCATAGCAGATTTAGTTGAACACAATTTTATATGAGCGATTTTTGTCGTTCAGCTACTGCAAAAAGCTCAAGCAATTAGCTCGTAGACAGAACACGAATAGAGGAATGGCTCAACCAGAGAAAATTGTCCTGATTCTGTCAATGAACTCATGAGGTACGTTAGCAAGTGTTCTCACATGAAAAATTTCTACCGTTGTGATACAGCCTCACATCACAAATAAGGCTGATTTAGCTAAGCAGGTATAGAAAAATAGGTACAAGTCCGCTCGAATTGTACCTCAACAATAGACGAGAGCTGATTTCAGAAAAATAGCTCCACGCAGCAGAAACTGGAAAGCTAGTGAAATCGAAAGAACAAATAACGTTCGATATGTTCACATCAGATACAGATCAGTGTTTATATACAGTGAATGATTATATAATTGCTCTCTCAATTCAGCTCAAAGACGAAGAGGTGCAGAAAAAGTATATGGTTAATTAGATTTCCTGCACGCTCATATTGATTCGTTGGTGCTCTGATTAGTCCTAATCGTTATCGCTTTTGATATTTTCTTATAAATTTAGTTAGAATTAAAAATACTCTCGTATCATTCTCTCTAAAAACGCTATCTTTCAAACCTTCTGATGCTTCTGAGTTTTTGTTCTAGGTGTGTGTTAGGCGTTAGCTATTCCGTAAACACATGTTCAAATGAGGGAAAAAAAAAAGGCAAACATGGCGCAGGTGGGTGATTCTGCTAAATGTGTTAGAGCTCATGGCCTGTAGTGCAAGTAAGCACTTAAGGGGTCGCCCACTGTTTTTGCTCGACCCTAGTAATCCTCCGTAACGTGTTTATTTTTACTCTGATAGTGAAAGATTACTTTTGAAAAGTGGAAATGTGAACAGAAAAGTTTTTTATTCTTCAGATCTGGTCACTGTAAATATGGCTTACCGAGTACGTTATCAGGAGAAGAGTGCTGATCCCTGAACAAATTGTTAGTATACTTTAGTTTCAAGATTAAGCATTTTGCTATCGATAACGTAACGTAACGTAACATTATTACACGAAATTGTGTCGTATCTCATCGTTATTTATCAACCTTCTCCTCTTTTCATTATCATAGCCTCTTTCGACAGAGTGCAGACGAGGAGCCTTCATTGATTGAAAACATGATAGTTAATGTACTTTTTGTTTCTTATTAAAGTGTGGTGCTTTGCTCAGCGTGTCCAGTTTACCCTTTTTTGCATCGGGCTTCAAATATTCCAGCAACGAAGAATCCGTTTCTCTGTACTATTTTCTACATATGAATTACCATTGTGTCTTTACGAGTGTCAACTTCTTTATGAAACTTAATTGGACTCGACATTGGGTTCGTGCTGGGTGATCTGCAACGGGAATGGCCAGACCGCTACTTTCCAATGTTAAGGATGCTGCAGCTAGGAGTAATACGGTAGAGACACTATCATTTATTTATATATACTTTTGATGGTCCTGTTGCTACTTCCGTGATTCGCTTCGACACTTGGCGTTGTCGCAGCACAAAAATGCAAACAGATAAGTACCGTTGTTTTTGACTGTAGTACCGTCTGCGTGGTTCACTCAGACCAAACAACTTTACGTCAACAGAACGGCTTTTCGCACAATTTGTAAGATAAGCCTATTAGCCAATGCGTTCCGATCCGGAGCGATCTATATAATATCATGATTTACATTTTTGTCCGGATATTTCTCTCGGATCCCTGAAGGCAGCACAAAACGGATGGGATAAACGTCCTATAGAGAAAGCGATCTCACAATGCCCCCCATATGCTGTCGGGAGCCGTTGGTCTGAGTAGAAGCGCAAAAAAACGACGAGATAAATTCCGCTGGGAATGTTGTACGGAAGATGAACGATCCGTTTAACCTTAATAAATAGTGTGCGAAGTCGTTAATTGATCTAACCTGATGTTGTCCGATTACGCTATCCAATACCAAAATCTGGAAGGGATTATAGGTACGGCTTGAGTCAGCTATGCAAGCAGTCTGACAAAGGTCTGACTTGCAGAAGAAAAGCAAAAATAAAATAGAAAAGTAATTTAGTAACAAGCATCCGAAGTAAATCCAGGAAAATTAGAAGTTGTTCTAATCTGTTCATTGTTTATATATTTTGGCTACCATTGAAAGGTGGATCAGGTCAGCCAAGTAGTACTAACGTTCTTTTTAGTTTTTAGGCTTGTAATCGAATTTGTGGTCTGCGCAAGTGACTAACTATAGTGACACAGACTTTTGATATTCCATAAAGTGGGATGGCAAAGACGTACTTGCTTATTTCGAAGAAAACGTTGCGTACTGATTCGTTGAAGGCTCAAAGTATAATAGGCCCATGTAAATAACGACTATATATATATATATATATATATACCATCCAAAAATTGTCAGTTATAGCCGGTAGGCCGGCGATTGAAGCTTGACAACGCCGTCCCAGCAGTTCAGCTTCATGAAGGCTTAGACAGGCAGCGCTGCATTCGGAAGCCAGCGTTTAGAAAATGGAAATTTTGCGGGCGTCATCTCTTCCCATGGGTCAAACTATTCCAGTGGTGGTATCAGCAGTTGGGTATTGCAAAGTGATTTGTCACCACCAATATTCCATCGTAAGCTGATGTACGAACAAAAAAATTGTTTGCCGTTATAGAACTAGAATGTGCACAAGCTCGTCTTGTACGCGTTCGTCGGCTCTTATGCAGCACTGGTTTCACGCAGTACTATCATTCTGATCAGGTACACCTTTCTCTGCAACTTATTCCTGAGCCTGATACTTGTTAGCTACGGCTTAGACAATACTACAATATTACCGACACGATATCTGTTATAGTTTAAATAAATCCGACGCTTTTTGTACAGCAGTTCGGCTTTTGGAAGCAAGTAGAGTGACGGGGGGAGCTCTAATGTGATGCACGCGATTGTCGTTTTGGGATCGAAAGGCGCCAACGAATAGCCACTGCTACGGCCGTTGTTAAACGCCTTGCTGATCAAGTGCACTCTGCGCGTTGACCAAGAACCGAAGGGTAACTGCAGCACAAGTGGCACCAGCACAATCCGTGAAATAATGCCAACTTACCTATAAGCGCCTTGCCACGAGCGATCCTTTTAAGTGACGGAAATATTGAATGATCGATTGGGCATCCGGAGTTGTCGAGCAGCGTGATCGAGTCGTCATTTCTACCAGACGTCGCAACCAGGTCACGAGCGTAGATACCTGTGGAATTGAAACAAAACTGACTTTCGTATATGTCACTTTAACGTATAGCTAGTTGATAAACGTATATGTATCCAGCTACTTAGACAGGCTTAAGAGTAGACTGTTCGTTGGCGATACTGTGAGACCACTGATCCGAATTGAACAAAAGATTGAGGACCCTCGCACTAAATACAAGCGGTCGGCTTTAACATTGCGCCATCGTTTGGAACTTCCCATCTATTAGGCAGTGATGCAATAGCAAATAGGTCGTTGCTAAGCATTAGTGTTTAAATTATGATTTACTTAATGGCAGTATTAACACATTTAGAATGGCAGTGTTGCAACTTATTTAGCTATAATACAAGTAATTATTGCGATTCAAACAAGGTGAGCGTTGTAAAAAAAACTAGTGTTCTTAGACTAATGATTGGAGCGTCTGCGAACACCGATCGTGTGATGATTGGCATCAAAGAAGAAGAATGAAGCAGTGATTTATTGTCAACCTAGTCAATCCAATTATGTATCTCAGAAAATGTTAGATCATTGTTGTTTAGTCTTATAGATTACAATAGCGCTTCATATACCCACTTCAGGACTCTATGGTTTACTTAAATATATACAAAACTGGTACTGGGAGGGATCGATCTAAGATGAAAGGGCATAGTATCTACCTATAGATTAGCGAAGTTATCGTTTTCGTACATTCATTTGGACTTCACACATTGGTTAAAAGGCACCACTTTGCGTTAAAAGTGAACTATTAGCCCGTACTTTCAGCGTGAAGCTTCTAAACTGTGCTACGTTCAGACTTTAGACAACTTAGAATAAAACAGCTACAAATAGATGAACAAACATGGATGTGCCAGAATACGTTACGTTGAAGGCAGACCGGTAAAACTTTTTCCCAAGCAGAGATATAGAAATAAACCGTCTACATACTAAATGTGATTGGCCCTGAGCCAGAAATCGCTAGTTAACCTGTGAGAAACTCATGAGATGCTAAGTAATACTTGTCACAGGAAACACCTAGAAAAAGGTGCTATAACAGAACCAAAAACAAAATCAACAGCGTGATGGGCGATGCAGCCGGGGAGAAAGTAGTAAATATATATATATATATGTATATATATACAGGCGTCGTGTGCAGGATAAGCAGACTGTGGTAATACGTCCAGTGCTGTCCTGAACGGGAACGTGAACCTGCGTGTGTCCGAAATATATCTTCTGTTAATCCATCTACGTACATGACCTTTCCCAACAATTGGCAAATACTGCATTGAATGAAGTGCAACTAGTTAGGTAGCGCAAAAAACGGTTCCTTATTATTGTAGATCTGTAAGCGTTCGTTCCTAGTACAAGCATATGCATATGTCATACGATACTATACGACCCCCTGTGAGAGAAGCAATTACTACCGTCTACCCCCACAAGCATTGTACATGAAATTTGTTACAGCCCTTATGTTTTTGAGGACGCATTATTCAGTATATGTGGAAGAAGCAGCTTTATCTACTCGACTCGATATATCGCTTTAGGCATACACTGAAGCTATTTTCTTCGTTTTGTTAATATGCATACATCTGTAGTACCATATTTGTCCATTGAGAAGAAAATGTTGAAGAATCAGATTATCGCATATCTCAAATAATATGAGTCGCATCGAGTGAACGGTCACTTAGGTGCGTTAAACTTGCTAGCATGTCAACATTCAGATTTAAAATTGTATGTAGGTTCTGCAAAATTGTATAATTTTTTTCATTATAAAGAAGCAAATGCTGGCCGGGCCCATAAAAAGAGCCAGATGCATGGCTTCAAGCGGTAGTGAACGAGCAGTTACGAAAAGTAGCTATGACATCGCCAAGAAACCTAGCGTCCGCCATGCAGTTATTGTGGGCAAAATGGTTACAAAAGAAAAAGGTCGATGTTTGGCATATCGATCCGTAGAAAGTTGGTGAGCGATGAAAAGTGCGAGATCACAGGTGACGCAAATAAAAAAAATGTGTTCTACACTCTAAGGCTAATGATGAGAGCTATATGTTTTATCGAAGCAATGTAAGTTACTGTCGCCTGGCAAAACGATTGATTAAAGCCTCTACTGTCAATCGTTCACAAAATTACGGCGAGATACCGAAAAAATCGGTCGGATTTGTGGCGAAAAGGGCGTCGTCGTTCGCTACTACAATGCCAAACCACATACACGTGTAGCTACCGGGCGTCAATTAGACGGGAGAGCTTTAATAGGAGATTTCAGTACATCAGCCGTATAGCCCAGCTTTTGTATTGTCTCGTTTTAGCCTTCGCAGAGCTCCCCTAATGGTATTCACTTGGTTGCAATGGAGAAATGCAAAAATCACTTATGACAATTTCTTGCCTAAAAACCGCAGAAGCAACGGGATTATGGAATCACCATTAGAAAAAAGCAAAACGTCATACCGGCGCATATTTAGTTTAATAATATAAAATGATAGTTTGTCGTAAGATTTCTTATCGAAGCTCTTCCGCAAGACGCAACTGTCGTCTTATAGGGTAATAACAGATTACTAAAAGTACCCACAGTCAAATAGACGTAACTGAGAATGTACGTACCGAAAACGGAATCGTCATCAATCTCGATGCGTAGGTAAAGTTCATCGCCCAGTTTCGCTCCAATAATATCTGCCCCGTTGCGGTCCGTGATACGCAAACGTATGTTCGGCGATGGAGCAGTGGCATTTACTGTGCCGGCCTGTACACTCTGTGCCCTATGCGTGTACACAGCACAGAACGACGTGTCTAACATTAACACTTGTTCAAAATGGTAAAATCTATAAAAGTTATCGGTGTATGTTATGATGCGACTCTTACCCCATCAAGACTTTATAGGTGTTGGTGACCGTTTTGTTCACTGCATCGAAACTACAGAATAGCTTAATGACGCGATCGCCTTTTTGCTGGATAAGTGGATGATGCTGAATCACTATGGTCGAAGTAAATACGCCGTCCTCCTACCACGACGATGAGGCCACGAGGAAAACGATTCGAAGACCGAAGATTAATAAAGCTAATAATTACTTATTATATAAAATAGACACGTACAGCCATGCCCTAATCAGCAGGACTAGGAAGAAACACATCTGTCTGAGGTATTCCGATTAGTTTGCATCTAACTAAAACGTTTCGAGCTGAATCGTAGGAATCCTAGTTAGCAGAAGCGTAATAGTTGCAAGCCCTAGGTTGCAGAATTTGTATCTAGGAACGTACTTGACGAGTAGAGTAAAACTGGTGACGTAACTAACGGGAGATGGAGTTTGGGTTCCTTTTTTACCTGTTGGTGCTTTCATATAAAACTGAATATAATAGAACGCTTAAACTGTCTCTTGTCGCACATTAAATAAACACTGTAAGATAGTGCGACTCCTTTATCCTTAACAATTTTGATAACTGTGAACGCGGCCATACCTCCGTGTCGACTCCACACCGTCTGCTTCGCAAGCTCATAGCGAGAGTGGTAGATCGATCCCCTCTGCCAGCGACCTCGCAATCTCCTGGGGGGGGATTGTCCACCTTTGAGTAGATCCGTCCCTCGAAGGGTTCCAGAGTATTAAGCGTTAGCACCATGGCCTCTTCGTCACAGTGCAGTCGCACTAGAAACGAGTTAGAGCGAAAGTGTCACCCGTAAATTCGTTATAGATCTGTGTTGTTGATTAGCAATTGGTGAAATCTTTTTTATTTACACGAATGGGGCCCACACTCTGCCAGTAAATGAGACCGCTTTTTGAACTATGACGTTTTTTTAGCAAAAAGTTGAATCCGGCCCTATAGCCTATCGGAAATAGATGTTCAAACCCTTTGCTACATTATCTCTATTACTAAGTGCTATTCCATGTCGTAACACCTATGGCATCTAGCCCATTCTAGCCTCAGGCTCAGAGCTATTTCGCACGATAGGCGATTTACGTGATAAAATATGAGGCTAATAATTGTATCGGTTATAATGAATTCTATAATACAAGACTGAAAGGACAATGATTTAGATTGTAACAAAAGGCCTAATGATGTACCTCTTTGTGTAAAATAGAGCAAAATAATCACGTTATTTCAATCTAGCTAAAGCTATTTACCTGAAACCTATAATTAGTTAGCGGTTTGTCTGTGCAAGCTTGCTCTATAGTATAATATAATAGATGCGATTCATGTATGTAGTAAATCAATATACACACACTAGCTTGTTATTTAACAAACATGTGTTTATCTTAGCAGATCGGTGTGATATTATATATGCGGATTGACACATAAGAACCACATTGGCCTAGTAGTTAGACTTACGATCTAGACAATTGGCCTTTTGGTGAAAGGTCACACCCTGACGTGCTCGCAGAGCGCTACCGCCCACGGATAAGGTATCGTCCGAAGACAGGGCACATAGCGCTGCTGGCGGGAAGAACGAAAAACTTCGACACAAAAACTCTTTACAATCGTCACAGAGCGATCGGCACTGCTCACTCGAGAAGGCAGCCCGAACTTGGTCTGCCCTAAAGATATCTACATCCTTACGTTGTTCGTAGTCACATCCATTAGGGCCGTCTGTATAGGAAAAGAAGGTGTTAAGTGCTCAATGCCCATGACAGGGCAGCGACGGATCATTCTATGAATCAACTATGTAAGATTTCTCTTAACTCTTCTATGTAGTCCTAGTCATCTGTAGCATGCGGTTGTCGAACAGTCCAGAGCCCGATTGGATGAGGTTTATAAGATCATTCATCAGTAGACGATATATTGCACTAACAAGTATGGTACGTAAAATTTTAATAGTAGTGATATAGTCGAGCCCAACCTCTGTGGAGCAGTATATTTTGTTCTATTTGATTTTCCTCTTCGGTGGATCTAAGCATATAATAAATAGACAAAGGAAACACTTCGTCTGTATGTTCAGGTTTATGCTGCAGTTTGAATCTTTCATACTCACGAGAAACACATTGATTTTCAAAATATTCAACATTTCCGGCTGGCCTGAAGGAACTCGGCTGTGATCTTCGGTCTTCGGTTGACAAACGACATTCTTGAATTGACGCGTCGTATTCACCCGACCTTTAAGAAGTAGAAGGGTTCAATTGTACGCGAAATTCGTTTTATCTTTTCGCAGCGCTCATCTTTGGCTTAAATGTAACATATTGCCCAGACAAGCACGATACACACAGATAACGAATAGAGTTTCAGGCATGTTGAGGCAGAGCTTGCGGTATCTTTCCTATTACATAAATATCCTTTTTGGGATTCTCGAGCAACCTAGGCGTTAGGGATTTGTCATCAAATTTTTTATACCCATTAAAGCCTACTGACAACGACCTCGTTAGCATATATGTTCTGTTATGTAACGTTACTTTGAAAACTTCTAAGTTACGGTAGACACCCATCGGTAAATTACCACTGAAAAAGTTTAGCCTTAAATCATAAGTTCAGTAGCCTTCGTACGCTATACGAGCTTCGTTTGTGTTTGAGGTGGCACAAAGCAGGTCGATTGCGAGGGCAGACTTTGACGTAAATATATCTAAAGAGCTGTTTTTCTTTTGTTTACCGTAATGCCAACTACAGCAGCCATCCAAAAATGTTTTAACGTAACTTGACCTTGACAATAGCTTTTCTGACCGTAAGTAAATTAGGAGAAGACATTCGCTGTTCGTTAGTTCGAAAATTGTCGTGGATCGCAAGAGTCAGCTATTTAAACTAGCAGATATAAAGGTACTGAAACAGTTCTCACCTGCACGGAAAAGCCTGTTCGTGAAGGCACAGTTCTTCACAGTGCTTTCGATACTGAACACCCCCGAGGACGCGGTTGTCAAAGCCAGATAGCTCCTTGCCCACTACCCGTTCCATGACGAAAGCCCGCTCACACACTGGACCTGTGGTTAAAATGGTGGACCGTGATAACAACGGCCCTTGCAATGAGTCGTTATGTAAAATATCGTACCTTTGTACCAACCTTGGCCTAGAGATTGCTGCTCAATGGTGACCTACAACGTTGTTGATCACATGTACTGTTTAATATCCACACAGTTCGTGGATACATTTATATACAAAGCTAGCTTAAGTTATTTCATAATCAGTTTAATTTAAGAACTCTTTTCGCAAATATTACTATCTTATTTTCAATCGAATTGTGCACCATTCCCACTGTCAATGTGTTCGTGCCATGTGGACGGTAATTTATTTACCCGGCTGCTGCAGGAGTCGCAGGTAAAAAGTCTCGAAAATCTCCTAGGTTAACTTGTCGAGATTTCAGCAATTTCTCTATCAAACTGTTGTCGAAACGAGAATATTGTCTAGTGGATAACAGAAAGCTCCAAATAATCACTCCTGTACTTTTTACCACGGCAACCGTTGCGGTGTGAAATCTAACGTTGTCTCTAGGTAGAACTCTATAGTTTGTTCATAACTTTCGCCGCCAGTCTAGCCATAACCAGAACTTCTGAAGCTACGGTGGATAACATGTATTACGAAACCAAACAGATGGTGATGCTCTGCATCCGTTCAAAAATGCGACACACTGTGATTACCGTGAAAAATTAATTTTTAGCACAAATCACAGCCCGATATAAGGCTGGATTATTGCTGCAATATGTTTATTGTAAACAGAAGAAAGAAGATTTTCACTTTTTTGTTATTTTACTACTCGCTTAACTCAGGCGGCACCTATTTTTCCATTTTGTTTAGTATATTAGTTTGACTGACGTAAACCGGCATGGCGCTTTTAAATACAGTAAACTTGTAAAATGGATCAGCTTTAATAGCAGATTTCAACTCTTTCGTAATTTACGTTCGCAAGGGATCTTTTGCGAGACTCAGTTCCCAATCTAAAATGTTTGAATTAACGATTGACGGTGTTTCTACTCATAGAATCATTATTCATAGAAGGTTTATGCGGCAAGCTATTTCGGCACCATAGTTCAGGGCAGTCCCCCGATTCGCAAATTACTTGATATCTCTGACCTTTTATAGCTCACTGAAATTTGCCTGCAGAAACTCTGAATGGCTGGCAATACCTGAGTAAATGCATCTCAAAAGTAAAGAAAAGTATCGGGAATTGTCGTTCCGTTAAAAAGTAGCACCATTTTCAATATGCGCACTGACCGACGTAACATACACACGTACATATATACTAATCACATAACTATAATATGTATGTTTATATATACATCCAATAAAAGTGCTGGTAGCTGCCCGATAATCACGCCTACTAGGAACCAATTAGTAGCAACGTACGAAGGAGTTCAGGCCAAATAGGCCTAAGTTCATAGCGATTGAATTTGAGAAAGCCAGCCTTTTTATATGTGAGGAAAAAGTAATTAAGATAATTAGCTATATTTGTGCTAAAGCTACTTGAACATCAACTGCATCTTAGGCTGGTCGGCAAATCTCGCTTTTGTACTTCCTGCGGCATCATCGCGTGCTAAAGTATAGTGAGGTTTTTTTGCACGGAGAGCCTTCAACTGGCCAATATTTGTTATGTTCCGAGTCAGTTTAGGCCGTTCTTATGTTGCAAATTCTCTTTGATATGTTGTCACCGTGTCGAGGATCTAGAGATTTCAGAAAACAAAACGTTGAAAAAAAACCTATGCCTAACACGAAAAACCCTATCCTCCCCTTTTTTGGAGTGCTTACTGCGAACCTCTCAGAGTGTCAAGGGCATCACGAAAATTCATAAAGTAATCCAAATAACTTAAGATCAATCAAAATTGCGCTGAAGCCAATATATGGCGTATTTCTACCATGGAAGTTAACAAAAGCCGACTTCTCAATGTTCCGAATGACTTCATCTCTCACAAAAACTAGTATATATATATATATATATATATATATATATATATATATATATATATTTTATAAAGTATTTTCTATTTTGTCAACTTAAATTTGCCAATTGGTCGGTAGTTGTGGCGCGTATCGACTTGAAGGCAACGCTGTCTTAATAACCAGAAGGAATAAAACAGCTTAATTTGACTTCCTGTCATTGTCAGCAACCGACGTGGGATACAGATTTAAGTTGTACTCGATCTATTAGAGGAACATATGCTAGTATAGTTGCTCTATTAGAATGTATATACATATATATGCATATATATTTTGGGAAAACGCAAGTTTTTCTAATACGTGTCTCTATACGCTAATTGTTAAGCTTCTCGGCAAATTTTACTGGATGAGACAGACCGACTGGAAAGGGGTGGGGAGCGTGTATATAAAAGCGCATCTTCCGCTATAGCTTTTACAGCGTTAGATGACATTAGCAAGCAGGCAAACCAATGTTGATGGACCTCCGTTACGTTTCACAATATTGGACAACATTTGCGTTCTGTCCGATTTGGGCTGTGACGCCGGCTTCTAGATGGCTATATGGATAGCTTCAAGTTGCGCAGGAAAGATTCCTTGAGATGTCTGAAGTGTACGCAATTTCGAGACGGCTCAAAAGAGTTGTGAAGGCTAAAGATGGGTAAATTTGTATGACACATAAATGTATAATATTAGTCTATGGAAATCCTTTATGCTATTAGAAGTGTCACTCCGACTTTCGAACATTTCGCTATAACTCATATCAGTGCTCCTTCGAAGGTCGTTCTGAACGTTCCCTGATATCACACGGATCATCGTACATAGTAGAGTACCTCGTGCCCTAGCTGTGCACCGATGGAATTTATTTCTTGCGCACATGCGCGACCCTGTTCGCATTCACTGTTGTTCTTCGAATTAAATTGTTTCTTAATTTGATGACATTTTGTTTTCAAAATAGCCAGCCGGAAAACTTTTCAGTGAACAAAATTGAAGAACTGTGCTCCAGTAATCTAAGCTGGCATATAGCAGTAGGCGCTTTGAACGATTAAACCTCTCGTTGAACCACACTAGGGACCCGTTAGTTTCAGGCCCGCTAACGATACATAACGACCTACCCAATTCGAAAAGCTATTATTTTATGCACAGCACTCTAAAAGAATAAGCTTCGTATGGACTTTGGCCTGTAAACAATTTTTCTTTAAAGCGTTTCATTGTGCATAATGCAGAAGTGAGTTTCTTCAATGTAATCTTGTCTTAAAGACTAACATGCGTCCCGCTGAAGTTGCCATACCGACTTTGAACTTCACCGAGTTTTATGCTTTGTGGCATATGAACGTAATCAATCAGCTGAAAATTAGAGATTTGATACGTATAGTGTCACCTCGGTGTGCGTTTCTGAAACAGGCGTACAGCCAAACTATACTGTAACAGAGTAGAAAACTGTTGAGCATTGGAAGCCACCAGCGGACAAATATTCTTGTATGGGTTGAGTGTGGGATTCGATCCCAGCGACCCGACTTTTTCGCCGAGATTACCATTCATAACTTTTCTATTCTTTATTACAAATCACCCCGGAACCTCATTGGTTAGTTATTAGTTGTTACATTACTATGTGAAAGGATGGTACGATGCCAAATGGAGCTAGCTATCTTGATTTAGCAGATCAGCTTTCAGACGCTTACACACAACGCTTAGAGATATGTAGAGTCAAACAGAACTGAAGATCGCGTCCGTTACCGGGATATACGACTAGAATACTTTATTCCTTTTGGTTTTAAGTTGTCTTATAAGTTTCTTTTTTTAGTAAGTGGTTTCAAGTTAAGTATTTAAAATGATGCCTAACAATAATGAACAAGTTTTCTGATTGAATTCATGCTGATTCGTCTCCACACATTCGTGTACTCGTGCCGCTCACTATCTCCATAGAGTTTCTGTGAGCTTAATATTTACATATAGGCTGCTCACTACGTACACTGTCTTCATGCGATAATAAAAGCCCGAACCCTTTCTGGTATATGAGAAACTAAACCTGATAAGTGATTAGCTTTGAACACCCGTGAACTATAGTAAATGACATCGTTGTCAAAGTCTTTAATCACTAGAACAAGTACATACAGATATTTCCACATATTTATGTATGAAGATTCGTTGCATATGCATCTCTAGTGAGAAATAAGGAGCTTGTCATCATATACCCTATCTAATGGGTGGGTGGCTGGCTGGCTGGCTGGCTGGCTGGAATTATCTTCGCTGCCGGCATCAAGCTTAGACTACCTCATGATTAACTACAATGCATATTGTTATTTTAAATAAAGTAGTTTAGAATGGAAAACATAAATATCCTTTCGTGTTCTCAGAGTCTGTAACAACATTTATGCAAGCACGTACCTCGTACACACATTTTCTCAAAGTAGTTTGCTCGATCTGAAGCAGGGAGCAGCTTCTCACGCCTGAAAGAGATTTGAGTAAAGATAATTGCCTGTTGCTGATCTTTGTTCATTTATGTCTTGCGAGCAGAGGCATCGTTATCCGGTAACTCACGAAAGGTCCGCTGCAGTAGGTATGCACGGCCTCACCTCCGATCTACCCTCAGAACTATTTCAAATAGCATTACGTTGTAGGGTGATTGCCGATGCGTTTACCTGTTAGCGGATACAAAGCTGGCCGCAAAACAGATGTTTCGATCGTAGTTTACCATAACTCCCATACATTCGTTTGATTGCTGACACCTGAAAAAGATATGATCATGATAGGTGTATCGATCAGTATTATTAACTAAATTTAATAGCTAACTAATTATTTACCATAGAGGTATTGGAGGGCCTATTCACTAGCTCTTTAAAATCTAGGTGGAATTGAGCACAGGCACGATATGCCACTAAGCAACCTTTTGATGCAATCGGCGGTTGTTCCAGAGTTGTTGTCCTCTGAAAGACCGTACATTGGCGCCAATCTGGAGTGCGATGGCTTATAGCCGACGATTTTTTCGAAGGTCGTTGTTGAGTCCTCCGGACAATTCGTTTGAGCTGTAACAATCAACCAATAGAATTTGGGATTTTATATATATATATATATATATATATATATATATACATATACATATATATATATATATATGTGAAGTTTTCCTTTTACTTTGATACTCATCATATTCTCTTCTTGTTTGCTAAGATTTCGTACCGTTCTGTTATAGCTAAACCCGTACTTTTCAAGCCCATTCAAGATCATCAGGAACAGACTACCAAATAAACTCTACAATCATCTTTTTAATATAAATATTTTTTTCTCTTATCTAGGACCCAAACGAATATTACATAACAGCACTACTTTGATACCAGAGTAATAATAGTTGTAAAAATTTGCAATTCACAGCATAGGGGAAAGTGAAGTCAAAGCGGGTGGGGGACAAAGGGAACATTGCGCTTCATGTTTATCTATGTATATGCGACACTTCATCCGGAGCTTTTCGACAGACGCAAGGTAAAACTCGAACGTCCATTCAAATTCATTTACCTAATTTCTTTAGAGGAGAAGTCTTAGAATTGTATAGACGAGAACTTTTGTCATTGCGATACTGTGTACCCTAACCTATACAGCAATTGCTTTCACATTTATGTGGATAAAAAATAACGAGCAAAGTAGCAAGACTCTGGACAAGGTGGAAAAATTCTTCAATCATGTTTAAACCTCGATCTATAGTACGATTTTTCCGAGTAAATCTATTGGTTAGCTTAAACAATGGAGTAATAAATACGTCTAAATCATGGCAGTGCAAAAGATTATCATAAATGAGTGTGCTACTTCAGGACGTGCGTCCTCTGACTCCCTCTGGAGGCCGTTTTCGCGTAAGGATAAGCTAGACGGGTAATCCAGGTCTTCCATAATCCTAGCTAAATGAATTAAGGTACGCCACTCATCAGAAATTCGATTGGTTTCGGCAGTCCTTACAGAAGCGACGTTCAGCGGTTTCTGGGAATTTAAAAAGTATTTACTTTGACCTCACTGTCCGCTACCAAAGGAATAAAGCAGTGACTGTGCATCATCAAAAGGAGAATTATCAATTTTCTCTAGGGCAAGTCTGGTGCATTACAAAGTAAACTTATTTGATTATCAGCAGCATCTTTACGGTTCCTAGTATGATGTCTGTTAATGAGTGTCTCGCTATGCAGATATCTTCATCAAGTACCATTTCAATGTACCATATAGTGGTACTTATTATTATTATTATAAAAATGCAAACTAATTTCCTCGGACGCAGGAGCAACAACGATCGGAAACAGCCGTTGTGTTATACCGAGGATTTAATATAGGGACATACAGTCCATACATTGTCCTGCATCGAGATGCTTTCCATGATGAGCGAAATAATAGTACTGAGATCCGCTTCCTAGTGAACATTATCAATCATTATTTATAGGAAAGCATTATATATATATATATATATAGATTAAAAATGCTTTACTATAAAAAAGATAATAGATAAAGAACAAGTGATTGATAAGGTAGTTATAATTTGTTGGTAATTGCTACTTAATCGATTGTATAAAAATCATAAAAGCTATAATGCGATGAAACTATTCTTTGTTGTTAGCACCAAATGTTCGGGTGTTTTGTATACAAAGTTCAAAGGGAACCATACTGTATTGCGAAAGTTGCTATCTAGCTATTGGTGTTGTAGGACGCACGTGACCGCATGCTGAAATAATGAGTATTTATCTTCCCAAGACAGTAGAAATAAACGGAAGCAATGGATGCAGCCAAAAAAAATCACGTTATTATTCTGTTATTAGGGTTAGGAAAATTACTTTTCGTCTTAGTTCCTTAAGTCTTTGCAATAGTGGACAAATATCAACGCGACTGATAACATATCTAAAGGTTTGCCTATCTAAAGTGAATATCTCAGGCGCTGAAGTAATGCAGTAAAATACGCCGTGATCGTAGACAACTTGTAGATAACTTTGTCTTAGTCGTACAATTATACTGGTTGCATATATATAGATATATTAGATGAGGGTCCTAGTCAGGCCTAAACCTATCTAGTTAGATAAAAAGATACCTTTACATGAGAAGAAACAGTTTCCTAAGGTCAAATAGCCCCATGTTTACTGTTGGCCATTAGCAGAGATTCGTTTCTTGTTAAAAAAAAAAAGCCGTTGAAGAGGGCTGAAAAGCCCGTTGAAATTTCAAACGGAAAAACGAGCCCCACCGAAGTCATCCGAAGTTAGTGTAGAGCTTCTTTGTTTTGGCATGTAACCGTTAATTGAATCTATTAGGCCTGATAACATAGGAAGCTCTGTATCAGCTGAACATTCCGAAAGAATAGTTAGCCGGCTTCTAAACGAGCTGTATGCGTCTCGTAGTTTTGGCGAGTAAAAACTCTAATAAATCGTTTAGATTACGTTTACTACTACGGCGTGTCGTCCATACTAATTCTAAACAACATGTAGCTGTTACCTCTTGTAGAGATGTAGGTTGTACGAGATATTCACCGGAAGTAAATATGTTTTTTTTTCGATTAGAAATTCGCCGTATTAGTTATGAACGAACCAATAAAATATAGTGCCTCCAACCTGTCAATGCGCTTTAGCCAAACCCGTTCAAGTGACGCGTTTTGTAGGCGCGAACAGGCCATCTCTTCGAAACGTAGCTACTACTGAGAAAAAACACTCCATTTCTGGTCAGTCTTCTTTTACTTTTTCTACTACTACTACTACTACTGATACTAATTGCGTTGGCTCCAATTGTCAAGCGTTTCTATTGCCGCGTTACTTGTGACCTCCTAGCGAGGTCTTGTTACTGCGTGTCTAGATTGCTAATTCAGCGCTTGCCTTTGTCGGAGCGAGCGCTGCCGCCGTATTCAACATGACAACGTCTCAGAGAACCACTGTAGCCGACGCCGTTGTTGGCAACGGCGGTACGACTGAAGCTGGACATTGGCTTTATAAACAGTCAGCCAGCTAAACTGTTATAGAAACACCACATAGCCCCTGGCGCTGGCTGAACAGCGCAAGATGGACGGTAGATGAACGACTAGATGAGTGAGATCTGCTTGTTGTGCTCTGTCGGCTAACCGCAAGGTACAAATAGTGAACTTCGATGGTGGGCGGAACCATTTTGTGGCCACTACAGGCGGATTAATGGTTTGTGGCCAAGGTAACAACGATAGCTATAACGAGAAATAGAAGAAAGAGCCAATGGGACTCCATACTAATTATGCTGGTACACTACCGAAAACTGGAAGAAGTAACATTAGACAGGAGGGAGCACTGCAACTGGTAAGGGAACGCGAAGTACACCCATATGATGAAAGAAATATCTGCATCGTTGCGCGCGCAAAGATAACGAGTAGATACTACAGCGCTGATTAGCGTTTCCGCTGTTTTTTCGTTATACGTTTTTTTTTTTTTTTCGTTTATTATCATCGTGTTTCTCTTCTTTATCTCATCTTTATTCCGTTGTTGTAGTAGAGGTAACTAGCTTGTTTCTTGACAAAGTGAACGCAGCCGAACATAGGCACGCCATTGTGGCAATGTCTAAGGTTCAGTTAGAAGGTGAGTTATAATTGGCCAAAAAGCCAAACAGCAACTTATGATCAGAGGCGGATGGCCGGCTCCTCAGTGACTAATTATACATCATTCGTTTCTGTTGTAGTGAACTTTATCTATAGAAGTTACCGGCACAAGTTACTATTGTCCGCTGCCTGTAACGACGAATTCCCGCGATGCACCCTCCGAAAATCACACGATTCCAGCAAGTGGATTTTTTAGTGAACAGCAAATTAAATAACACATATTCAAAAGTATATCTATGCTCAAGACAGCCGCGAAGGGTGACAGCTTGGCAGCAGCTCAAATTCTTGGTTAAAGGCCGCACATCTTTAAGCGCGCAACGCAAGTTATCTAATTACCAGGACGTTTTTTCAAAACAATCCCTTGCGTAGCCAAAGTAATCGGAGAAAATCAATGACTCTGTCGTGCAGGACTATTTGAGGCAAATCTCAACAAAAGTCAGACAAGCACATTGTCTCAAAGGCGTTTCTTCTTCGTTTCGACATCTTGGAAGTGTTCTCTGTACAAACTCATCCATCGCTCGTCAGCATGTTCACTCTAACACTGACGTACAAGCGGGTGGAAGAGGGAACAATAGCTAAAAAGAAAAAGACCTTTAGCAATGTTTTCATTAGATAATGATAATCGTGTTCAAATGTGCAGCTGTTGTTCGAGACAATCGATAATCGGCTTCATGCATTTAAATGGCAATGGCAAAAGACTCACCTACGGCGAAGGCAACCAGCCGACAAAGAAGAGATGCTCCTAAAGAAGAAAACCCCCGTAGTTTTAGTTTCCTGAAACACAAGATCACGTCTACTTATAAATTTAGCTTAAACATCGTATATGCGGCTATTGCACTACACACTACTAATGTCCGTATAACACAGAAAATATCTATACGTGACAGATAGGCACCTAATGTATCCCGATTGCAAACTCTGAAATAGGTAAACGCACAGGCGGACCGTGTGCGTAAATGCTACCGCCCGCTTCTTCAGGCCGTCGTCATTATACCAACAGCCAGTTCCACTATCAGCGGGTGTCAATGATCAGGTGGTCCGGCCGATTGGGCCTTTTGGACTAAGCAAAAAGAAAACGCGCGTGGGTCGCGTATCGCAACCAACATTGAGCTCTAACAGTTCACAGACGGTAAAGTGGGTACAACGAAGAGCAGAGCGTGTCGTCATATCTACATTTGCGTAACAAACGTGTGAAACTAAATTCTATGGTATTCTAAGAACTAACGGAAAACGTATTTACTCAAATCAACGGGAAGCGTGCCTAGGTCTACTTTGTGTCTAGGTTTTTCTACGTTTATATGTAAGCCTTGAGATTGAAGTGTGACCGTTCGCTCTATTACTAACAATAGGGAATACACTTAGACTAATTTTATGTTTTAACCAAAGGCAAACATTTTACGGATAAGGGAACCAATGATTCTCGTATTTAATAACCTGATAAATGTATCCACAACAAGCACGACCATATGTGGCGTAAATATGCGACGCCGTACGTAGCATTGAACAATACGTGTGTTGTGGACTATCACCACGCGACCTTGTTTCGGTTTCCTGAGCTTATTGTCGAAAGCTCAATAGATACTTTGCTTTACCTTTCTTATCGATAAAAAACTACAGAACAAGTTATATGGTGTATATAAACACACGCAATGTAATGCTAATGAACTTACGCTTTGCCTCTGTCTCATTAACCTAAACTTAACCTTGCAGTTCCTACGTACTTACCATACATATATATATATATATATATATATGTATACCATATATAATATCACGAGTTATATTTTTACGTATACATATCTATATATATACGTAAGAGACAAAGCTGTTATTGTTTTTATTTATACTTTGTTATGGTAGTAATGGGCTGCAAAAGTAGTAGAGACATAATCGTTGATTTTGTTTTTTTTTTGTGTTGTTACGTTGCACATATGTTTTTGTGATATTTGACGTCTGAATGCCATTTAGATGAGGTAGGAACAACAATAGAACTTCCTCCAACTGAATTGGAGGAGCCGGATTTATTAGAGAGTTTAGTATAAAGCACGATATGAATCTTGTATTTGAAAGAAACGCAATTTTTATAACGATGCGACATTTCGCAAGACTCGAGATGCATTTGTACTCTTGCTGAAAGCTGAGCCCGTTGACTGAGATATCATCGTTAGGGCTTTTAGCAGGCTAGCCGTAATACCATACCTGTTTGCCCCGCTCAAATTAGTCGGGTACAGCAATTGATCCTTAATAGTAACCAGGGGAAAATCACTATTACTAGGTAACTGAACCGATGAAAGGTCACCCTTAAACAAATGTACAGCTGCAAGAATCTGTTGTCCAGTTTGGTGGACTAAGGTAGACATTGTCCTCATACAGCTTGATGGGTGATTACGGTTACAGTATACAATTGTCAACGATTGAAGAGAAGCCAAACTTAATGAACAGAGTGACAACGTTCGACTTGACGCCGTAAGAATTGGATTGAACAGCATGTATATGGTTATGTACTTTCTATATTTTTATCTTAATGAACTGTATATGATAACTAAATTCTTCACTGGCCCAGCAGAGCTCATCTTCAACAGACTACTTCTCTAGGAAGAGTCCTGAAAGATGCATCCTGGCCATCTAATGAACCTCCTTAATTATCGCAATTTTACCGCTTGCTTTAGTTATAGAAGGGGATTGCCGTCTTCGTTTATTTTCCGTATGAAACGTATCTGCATAAGCCAAAAAGTGTCGATTTTGGTCCAAACAGGATATGTCGTCGGTATCCGTTATTCCGGTCAGTGGAAATGACGTCTTCCATTTAGTTAGAATGTGTAACTATACTGGTTTCCAGGTCCGCGTATGTCGGTGATTTTGGCGCACTCAAACTATCGATTTATTAAAAGAAAAACGTATTTGCACCTCGCTGTCTGAAAAGGGGACAGTGTAGACGTTATTTGATTAAGCAAATTTTTTTTATAAAGCCTTTAAGTAACAAATTATTAAGCAAAAAACGCAAAAATTAGTGCGCAAGCTCAGCCGCACACGTGTCTCGCAAAACGGCTGTCATTACATAAAAAAACTATTTTGACTTTGCAGCGTTTTTCTAGGAGCGAGTCCGCAACGACCCGTCAGTGAAGGCTTGATCCCTCACCCAGCTGAGCTTCTACGTTTCTTCTGTCGAAAAGATGGTTTCACAGATACGCTTAAGTTATTCATGCATGCCAAATTGATTTGTATTCGTACTACACAACTTTGGTGCATTTTATGCATTTAGAGAGATGACGTCAGCTATTTCATCCAAAATTCTGATGTTCAAAAAAACACTTCAGAAGTGGAAACTGTAACTGTAAGTGAAGAGAACGCCCTTCTTTGAGGATTCAGTCAGAAAAAGTCAATTAATAGCCATTGTTCTTGACAACCGCAAGGTTAACGCTCCCGCAGAACAAAGTGTCGATTATTAACATTCATGTCACGAAACGTTTAAGGTGTCGATGTTCTATGCGTGCGCAGAAAATGCTAGCAACTTTCAAGTACGATGAGCCATGCGACAGATGAAGACATCGTTGTCCTTCGCATATGGAAGCCACAAAATACTGCCCGTACAACTGGGTGCGATATTGCCGATTTGGGGTTGTAATGCCGCACAGGTTCTAGGCTCGATCGACCTTGGCTAACTGCAAAGTGCGATGTTATTCTCGCATATTTAGAAAAACGGTAAGGACAGTAGCGTCTTGGATATTTCGATACTTCCGTGTCGGCTCGTAAATTCAGCCAAATCAAGTCATAAGATTTGGACGTCAAAAGGCCTTTAGTGGTTAAAGCCCTTTGCGTGCCGTATAGACGGTTCGGCGTCGTAATGTTCACGGGTTGCACGCGTGGGCGCCCTGCTCAGCACATGTGAAGCGCCAACTATATCTTTCAAGTAGTAAATGAGTTCAGGTTTAAAGGCACGCTGCGGAACATCCCGTTCTTCGATTGCCATTTATTATTTAGCGAGATATATGAGCGTGTTCTCATATGCAACGGTTGTGACAGACAGATGTGGTAACTTGCTTTCAAACATTTAGCAAGTAATTGCTTTGACACTGAACCTGAATTCGTCTATCAGACACGTGATCTGTGTCAACAAAAAGTAAACTGCCCTCAAATGAGCCTTTATCAACAAGTTTCGAGTATAAATGATACAATACCTCAAACTTTTCAAATTCAGATCACTTGCGAAGTGCTGTTGTTAAACAGTATAGAATATTTAATAATTTTGAAAATGGATGGCCTGCGTCACACAAACGACTCTGTTTCTGTTTATAATGTGATGACGATTTTCTGTTTTCTTTGTAACTTCCTACGAGCGAATCTTTCGCCTTCGGATTTCGTTCGACGTGAACAAAATAATAAAAATACTTCCTAGGATTACATAATCCTAACAGTGGACCTTTTCATTTTTTCATTCTGATTCATGCAAACTCTACGACCGCTTGCGTGTCGCAGATTTGAGATGCGCATAAGCAAGAAGAACCTTTTGTGTGTGACAGACGTCTCGACAGAGGAATAGAATATGAAGCATGGACTAACGGGAAGTTGCTCGATCAACGAGGTGAACAAAAGACGTACTGGACGTGTAACAAAGGAAGACGAACGTGTGGGGTACCAAAAACCCCTATCATTATACTTTACTGTCTGGTTAATAATAATGTTATTGATTATCGGTTTTGATTGAGACAAGCGTAGCCGTGCTGGTCTGCCACGTTGAAAGTAGGTGCGGATTCGATCTTAAACGAGTTACTGAAAAATTGAACGTATGAAAAAGACACGGGATACTTATACGAAGATCATTTACACCTCTGTCTTGTTTCAGTAGCGACCGTTAGCCTTTTCAGCTCTTTCTGAATAGTTGTCTAAATAGATGAATCTGTTTCCTGCTCTTTCAGAATAGTTTTCTCTATGTTTACAGTTTCCAATGTCCACAGTCACGATTATTAAGTGATTAATTGTTATGTAATGTTGAGAAGAACCTAATAGCTCTTAATGTATGAAACATGTGTAACAGTATACTTCCTTATGAGAAATAATCAGAAGAAACTGAAGCATATAATATCAATGTTTACCATAGAAAAGCGTTTTATTGCCGGGATACGTGTGGTTATGACGATGAAACTACTTGTCAAATATATATATATATATATATATATATATATATTAGAAATATGAGTTTGCTTTCTGAAATCAGCGAGGATATCGAAACGGATGAGCGACAAGAGTTCCATTCGGCCTACACAATATTACTACCCTCACTCTGCTCAATAAAAATCCGGTTAAAACAGACTTTAACGGATCATCAGAGAACGGATTAATGTGTGATGTATCGATTCTTTGGGGAATGTAATGCAAAAAAGTCAGTACAACGGCCAGAAATCGATAGTTATCCAAATTACTCTGCACTGATTAGTCTCTTCTATGGTCAGTTATAGAGTTCCCAGCATTATTTATAAGCTGTCAACTCGCCTATTGACGCTCTTGTTGTGACTATTGTTTGCTTTCTTCGTTATAGGTCATCTCGCTTTTGCCAAGAACAAAATACCTAAATTGTCGCGGTATTCTTTAGCATGTAGCCAATGAAAAGCTTTCAGGACACCTTATAGGCTTCAGCTTTCCGTATAGCCATGAATTGAACATCGGACAAGTGTCATGTCCTGGAGGCTAGTCTTGCCCTGCTCAACCGATATACAGCTCATCGGCGACTATCTACCGTTTTCGAAAAAGCCAAACGGTCGGTGCCACCGCCAGTA